GAGAGAGAGAGAGAGAGAGATCCTGGAATAGAGTTCTGAGTCTGTGCGCAACATCTTATAGCAAAATCAGCTTTAATAACATTTAGAAGACCTGTATTTACCTCTCGGAAAGAACTCTCAAAACAATTTTTAGTTTCCCGTCAAATAGTTTCTTCCACAGACTTTAATATTAAGTTATTTTATTTTAAGTTTTATTAATTGTTTTGAACACAACTAATAAATTCAAAATAAACTGAAGTTTTATAGATCTCTTATTAGTTAATAAAGTGTGACAAACAATCATTTTTTGCAAAGCTTAATTAATTTCAAGAAAATACAATACGAGGCAACAGATAAAGCATCACTAAAAAGCGGTGAGTTTTTAAGAAATTTTGTTCATTTTAATAAATATATAAGTTTTGTTTAAACTGTTAAAAAAAAGTTTGAAGTTCTGTTTGTATGTCAGAATTGGTTTTTATAATATATAACATGTTATGTGGTGTGAAAAGTATGAATCTTTTGTCTTGATTTGAAAATTTCGAAAGAATTAATTTATTTGAAGAGTTCTCCACAACTTAATGATGGCATAAATTATTTTCTATCAATCGGTCGACAGAATATGATAGTTATTTTGAGGCGCTGTTGGCCCTGAACTTTATATATCGCTTGAGAGAGAGAGAGAGAGAGAGAGAGAGAGAGAGAGAGAGATCCTGGAATAGAGTACTGAGTCTGTGCGCAACATCTTATAGCAAAATCAGCTTTAATAACATTTAGAAGACCTGTATTTACCTCTCGGAAAGAACTCTCAAAACAATTTTTAGTTTCCCGTCAAATAGTTTTCTTCGACAGACTTTAAGTTATTTTATTTTAAGTTTTATTAATTGTTTTGAACACAACTAATAAATTCAAAATAAACTGAAGTTTTATAGATCTTGTATTAGTTAATAAAGTGTGACAAACAATCATATTTTGCAAAACTTTTCAATTAATTTCAAGAAAATACAATACGAGGCAACAGATAAAGCATCACTAAAAAGCGGTGAGTTTTTAAGAAATTTTGTTCATTTTAATAAATATATAAGTTTTGTTTAAACTGTTAAAAAAGTTTGAAGTTCTGTCTGTATGTCAGAATTGGTTTCTATAATATAAAACATGTTATGTGGTGTGAAAAGTATGAATCTTTTGTCTTGATTTGAAAATTTTGAAAGAATTAATTTATTTGAAGAGTTCTCCACAACTTAATGATGGCATAAATTATTTTCTATCAATCGGTCGACAGAATATGATAGTTATTTTGAGGCGCTGTTGGCCCTGAACTTTATATATCGCTTCATATATAATATAAGCAAAACGTGCCGAACGCACAGAATGTACAGAATACACATCTCCGAGATATGTTTCGCTTTTCTCAATGCTTTTCAATGGGAATCGGGTTATACTGTATTGAATGCATTACGCAAAAGCTTAGTGAGTGAGAGTTGCTGAGAGAGAGAGAGAGAGAGACAATCTGGCCTTCAGGGGGTGTAAGGGAACCACTGTAAATCAGAAGTAATAAATCATAGAAGTTTTAAAGTGGACTCCAAAAGACGGGTTGAATTGCGAGAGAGAGAGAGAGAGAGAGCACAAAATCGAGAAGAGGAGAGAGTGGATTGAGAGGACGGTTATCCTTGAAATGTTACTTAAGTATGAGAAGAGAATAAATGCCAACCCTTCCCATCATTCTGTTGTTGAATACATTTATTTCCCTTACTTTCAATAATACCTGAACAGAGCATATGATGGGACAGGGATTCGGTGGAAAATGACATGTAATAATAAAATGTTCTCTATTTTCGTTGGCTCTCACTATTCATTCTTTAATATAAAGGCATCAAAAGAAACTTAGATTTAATGACACGAAAAAAGTATCGGTCTTTCAGTCTGTGAACGTTATTATGGATTCGTTCACTCTTTCAACCGTTTGTATTCTGGACTCAAAGGCTATTCTATTCATATCAATACAATTCACTCTCACTTCCAGTCTCGCCATATGTGTATAAATTAAGTCAAATTCTCGATCTTTATATACATGCATCTAATATACGATTTAATTAAACTTTTAATTGTAAATCAATGCAACGATTTTTAAATTTCAATTATATAAATATTAAATTATTTATGATTTGGATTTTGTATTGATTGTGAGAAAATTTTAAAAAATGAAAAAAGTGGGAATTGAATTGAATTGAATGATAGGCGGTAACAATGGGTGGCAACAGTGGGTACAGCTCTTATTCAACAGCTCTTATTCAACATTAGATCACAATTTATGCCTTTGAACACCGGGTGTAAAAAAGATTGAAAATCAAGTTCAAGGCCATCGAGTCTCACCATCACTGCCATTACATAACACCGATTATGTATTTGTAAAGGCATCAAAAGAAACTTAGATTTAATGACACGAAAAAAGTATCGGTCTTTCAGTCTGTGAACGTTATTATGGATTCGTTCACTCTTTCAACCGTTTGTATTCTGGACTCAAAGGCTATTCTATTCATATCAATACAATTCACTCTCACTTCCAGTCTCGCCATATGTGTATAAATTAAGTCTAATTCGCGATCTTTATATACATGAATCTAATATACGATTTAATTAAACTTTTAATTGTAAATCAACGCAACGATTTTTTAATTTCAATTGTATAAATATCAGATTTTTTATGATTTGGATTTTGTATTGATTGTGAGAAAATTTTTAAAAATGAAAAAAGTTGGAATTGAATTGAATTGAATGATAGGCGGTAACAATGGGTGGCAACAGTGGGTACAGCTCTTATTCAAAGCTCTTATTCAACATTAGATCACAATTTATGCCTTTGAACACCGGGTGTAAAAAAGATTGAAAATCAAGTTCAAGGCCATCGAGTCTCACCATCACTGCCATTACATAACACCGATTATGTATTTGCAGTATTCCTGTACTCCTGTACTACCCCTCAGTTCGTCTCTTTTACTATTTATGTAGAGTTTTAGTAGAGTTTGTGTTTAGAATTCATTTTGTTATATATTTGCCAATTCTTAACACTATTTTTTAATTTTTCTTAAAATAGTTTTAAAAAATTATTTCGTTATAATTTATCCAATTCTTAGAAGTATTACAAACAAAATATTTAAAGCGATTCAATGAAATTATTCTTACATCCGATTTAATAGATTATTTGATAAATTATCAATGATTTAATGATTAAGAAGTTAACAAAATAACTCATTTTAAATATTTAATTAATACAACATATATCAATTTTTAGGCTCAACTAAATATAACATATTTTAAATTATTAAAATTCTTTAAGATTGTTTCTAATAATAATTACAAATCTTAAATTATCATTGATTGAAATCAAATTAATTAAACCCCTAAACGACACTTCACTGTAAGAAATGCTAATTAAATGAATGTCTTGAATGTCTTGTTAAGGCTCTAATGAATAAAAGTTTGTAATTATAATAATGTCTAGTATTGAACACATCCGATGGCATAAGTGTTGATCGGTTTGAGTGCTTGAGTTCATTCATTCACCAATTCATGAAATACCGGTTTAACCGCATTAGATGAATAAAAGTTTGTAATTATAATAATGTCTAGTATTGAACACATCCGATGGCATAAGTGTTGATCGGTTTGAGTGCTTGAGTTCATTCATTCACCAATTCATGAAATACCGGTTTAACCGCATTAGAGGACAAGCATTGCATTCAATCATACCATCCATGCACTGAATCCAAGAATAGCTGACAATCTTTGCTGCAATATATGATACTTTACTAAATTTACATTATATTTATTGATATATACAGCATATGTATAGATATTTGGTCTGTTAATTAACTCATCATTATATAAGCATCGCTTCAATCACTGTCTAATTGTCATCATTATTTCAGTCATTCAACACATCAACATAATTGGTCCCAAGAAGTTGCCCACCAATTAATCCATGTATTCACAGGTATTGTCATTTTGTTTCCATCGTGTTTCTCTAATTTAACATTTATATCGCTATCAAAACTCAATCATATATTAAACTATTTATTAATCTATATATTGAGAGAAATTCTTAAAATTCAATTTAATAATAGAATTGAGAAATAATTTGAAACAAATCTAAGTCTCAAATAATGATTATATTTAACAACTATTGATAGCAGTTGTCAGACATAGTATTGATAGTAATTGTAGTCAAATATATCATTTAATTGCGAAAAAAGTAGAAAATGTTTGCAAAAAATGTATGAATTAATGAATAGTAAAGAAGAAGAGAAGATATAATAGAAATAGTATTGAATTGAATGTAAATATTAGTGAAAGAATTGATGTCTCAATGTTTTGCTGTGAGTCTGAGTGTAAGCATAAAGTCTATGCATAGACTCGTTGTTGGCCTTGAATTCACTCACTATTGGCTTTCGGTTTGGTTTCGGTTCTAATGTTTGAAAGCAATCATTGAATCATTCGTTCATTCATTCAATCATTCATTCAATCATTACTTAATCCTAACATTGATTTGATTTCAATTGTAATGAGAATTGAGTCATAAATGCATTGAAAGCATTGAATATACAAAATAGTCATCTCTTTTCAATTCAACACGAATTCAATGTTTATTTTTATTTTGTTTTCATTTAATTCTTGACCTAAAAATCGGATTTATTTATAGTTTTGCCGTAAATTGTGTTCAATAGTGAACTAAACACTGAATTAATGTTTTAATTGTTTTGATTGTTGTGAAGATCTGTGCGAATGAATGGTTAGTGAATTGATATGATGTCCAGCAGTGGTAACACCAATGGAGTGATTGTCACCAAAAACGCTAATATTAGCCTCAAATCAGAGATTATCGACATTAAAGCCAAAGACAATTGTTTGGCAAAGAATTTGACACAATTGAAGACAAACATCGGTTCTTCAGTCGATCGCAATCCAAAAGTGATGATATTTTGTGGCCAAAAGTTAAGACAACGAAATGATTCGGTTTCCTCCGTCTCTGCCATAAGTACAACGATTGCCAACACATGTAAACAAGAGGTGAGAACTGATTAGATTAGATCCCATCTATGGATCAGATGATTGATTGTTTGGTTTATATTGTTTAGGATTTGTATTCCACTTCTGGAGATCAGTCGTCGCCATCGCCGCAGAGCGCGAGTGACACTCAACCGCAGGACATGTTCTGCTCGAGCACTATGTCTGCCGACTGTTCCAGTAATACGAGCGCCGACACCATTGATGCCAAATGTGGTGATACTTCACCCAAAAGAGTGTGTTTAGTCTGTGGCGATACGGCCTCTGGATTTCATTACGGCGTCGCCTGTATGTCATTCATACATCATTTGATTCATTTGTCCATTTAATTAAAGTTGTATTTGATTTGCATTCGACAGCTTGTGAGGCGTGTAAAGCATTCTTCAAGCGAACCATTCAAGGTATCAATGATTTGATGATTTGCTTTTATTTTGAAACACTTGACAACTAATTGTGTGTATAATTGAAGGCAACATAGAGTACACGTGTCCGGCGGCTAATGATTGTGAGATCAATAAGAGAAGGCGGAAGGCATGTCAGGCGTGTCGGTTCCAGAAGTGTCTTCGGATGGGAATGTTGAAGGAAGGCGTGCGTCTCGATCGGGTCAGAGGTGGCCGTCAGAAGTATAGACGCAGTTCCGAGAGTCCCTATCTCGGAAGGCATGTCAGGCGTGTCGGTTCCAGAAGTGTCTTCGGATGGGAATGTTGAAGGAAGGCGTGCGTCTCGATCGGGTCAGAGGTGGCCGTCAGAAGTAATCTGCGTCAAGGCTCTCAGGGATAGTCAACGTGTTATACAGTGGCGAATTCTTCTGTGGGTAACTCCCATACAGAACACAGCCTACAGAACAACGGTTAACAAAATTAAGTTTACTTTATGTAAATCATTTTAGAAAATAAGATAATATCAGCTCTGATTGGTTGCGAACCCGAACCTCTATTAGCGCTGATTTGTCAGAGCTCTCCCACATCGTCCACATCTTCCGCTCAATACAAGAGTATTTGTTCATTGAGTGATCTCGTGGACAGAGAACTGGTCGCTACTATTGGATGGTATGATTGACTATTCAGTCGAAACTTTAATGTTTTATTCACTTTTGAATGATCTGTCAATTCAGGGCAAAACAAATTCCCGGTTTCACAGATTTGATTCTTAACGATCAGATGAGACTATTGCAGACCACTTGGGCTGAAGTTCTTTCCCTTTCATTAGCTTTTCGGTGAGTTTAGTCATTGCTGTCGAATTGGATTTGCAATAAATAGCATATAATTGTGTTTAGATCTCATCAGTATTGTATGCAATGCACGCCAACGACAGGGTCGGCATCAGCCAGTGCACCGTGTTGTGGGTGATTTGAACAAAAACGGTTGCTGAACTAATACCTAAGTCTTGTCCGGCCTGTCACGTCTCGACTACTTGACAAATTGGTAAGTTATGTTAATCATTTTTCTGAATTAAAACATAAAATAGCAAAAGAGGAATATCTTGTGTTAAAAGCAATTCTGTTAACAAATGCTGGTATTATTGACATTATTTTAAACCAAATTTTTGTTTCTAAATGTATTTTTAATTAACAGATATTCTATTAGAAGACTCGCAATCGGTTTCGAAATTACGGGAAACTCTATTAATGACACTTCAAGAATGTGTGTCTGCTTTACGACCACTGAATAGTGTATCGCATTTGAGCCAATTGTTGTTATGTATGCCTTTGTTGCGACAGTTGGATGGCGTGACCAGACGTTACTGGAATTGTGTCCGAAGAGAGAGCAACGTTCCGATGAACAAATTGTTTGTCGAAATGCTTGAGTCAAACATAACAATGCGTTAACTAAATCACAATTATGTTTGTTTTAATTATGGGTTTGTTTGCGAACAAAATATTACTAAAATATTTGGACACATATTGAAAACAATACGACAATACATGTAATACAGGGTATTATTTTATTGACAAACCGATTGTCAATTATCTGCAACTACTGATGGTTTGGGTTTGAGTTGATCTAAGGTTAAGATACTATTACTAGGTTTAGAATATCTCTAAAATGCTATGCTTTCAATAATTTACAATATTATTAATATTAATTATGCTTCCATTCAATTGCTATTATAATATTCAAAGTTTATTATAATTATTACTTATGTCTTCAAAACACTTTTTTGAGATAATATTAACACAATTATGCAATTATACAAAAACTTTTGTTAAAATCACTGCCATTTAAATGACTTTTGTAAAGATTACTCCAAATAATGACAATACCCATAGACTACTACCTATTATATAGTCTACATTTAGCTAATGCTTAAATTGCATACACTTTTAGCAAATTTAATGTAATTTAGAGATTAATGTGAAGAAAGTATTATTATTTAGATAGAAGATATGACAGCAGTTATTAATGCCTATTATAACGTATAGAGAGCTACTGTATTGGTCTAAATGGTCACTAATTTTGAGTTAAACGCACAAAAAGGTAGACTTATTATCAATTCTTAGGATAATTACAAAGTTGTGTTTGATTTAGAATTTATTGCTAAACAACATAACCAGAGATAACATAAGAATAGATGAATTGTGCGATTTGTACAGTACTTGCAGTTCATAGTGATATCGCTGTTATTGTTATACATAGTGTTAATAAACTGAAGAATACAACAACGATTGAAATGAGAAATGCTTACAATTTATGGCTATATTTGATTTGTTCTCATTTCTCAACTTATGTAACCGTCCAGTGATATGATATGACATGATATTTATTGATTTGATTTATTGTTTTCCTGTAATTCAATTCAATGCAAGTCTTAACTTAATTATATTTCAATTATTTGTTGGATTGATTCCACTTATATCGACGTTTTGAAGATTAAACTAAAAATTATTTATTTTGTCTTCAATCCATTTAAAGTACAATATAACGAGTTATTATATAAAATATATCTATTTATAAAATTTTATCAAATATTACTTAAAATATTGAGTGCTTTTCAGTGAACATCGACTAACTTTTAGGCAATTATATTATTTTATTTAAATTACAAGAGTATTAATTGTTGTAATTTTTTAAAAGTAGACAATTGTTTATTACTTAATATCGGATTGAGTCTCAATTGATGCCATTTTCATAAGTGATTCAATCGTAGAGCTATTTTTTATAATTTTTTAGTGTTTAAGTAATTCTAATACAGTATGTATTCAATCGATTTTAAAATATTATTTAAAATTATTTGTTCACAAAATTTCCTTTTAATTCACTTAATTTAAAATAAAATATTTATTTTCAAAAATATTTCAAAACTTGTGTTAAATTTATTAATTAATTCAACGTCTCGTCCAATAATGAGATTCAAATAAAATTCGCTTAAATTAATGGTACGAATGAATGCAAAATGAATGCATGAATGAGAGCCGACTGTCTGTCTGTCTGTAAGTTTTGCAAGAATTATGAAAAATGCAGAATCTATTAGAAATTGATTTTCAGCTCAAATATCGGCCAAAAAATGATAAGATTATCGGCGAATAATTTTCACACGACTTTCCATTGATTTAGCGTTTGTTAAACAGTTAATGATTTAATCACTTCTCAGCGAAACTCGAATAACTCTAATCTGAATCCCAAATCGATATAATAGGAAACCTTGAACTTCACAACAAACTCAACGAATCGATTGGACTCAACGCTATATAGTTGTCTAAAACGTCTGGAAGTTAACTATATTTCGCCACACTTTCAACATTTTATATTGTGTTTTAAATTCTATGTCTATTCTTAACCGTAAAATAATTATAAAACTTAATAATAATTTCTAATCTCAGATATGTTTAGAAGTTTACGTTTTTTTTTGACATTTTCAATAAGAATTACTGAATTTTGATTTGAGGTTAGGATCTAAAACATCTGCAAATCTGATACCGATTAAGGATAGCCTTTAATACAAGTGTTTTGCGATTATTAATTGTAAAATTTCCACATTTTTGTAATAAAAAAATTATTTTGAATAATGAAACGCTATTTTTCAAAACATTTTTTTTCCAAAAAACCATTAAAAATACATTTTGCCTCAAAAATATGGAGACAATTTGCAAAACTATATTTATGACAAACAATAGTAACAATAAAAACAATAATTAAAATGAGATGATATATAATTAGTTGGCAGCCTCTGTATTCTGGGTCCCCTCACTCCCTGTGCTCTGTGTTCTGGATCTCCATTCAACTGATAAACACCTGCCGTATGCCTCCCTTTCCCTCTCCCTATTCATTTTGCCTCCACTTTTTGCCTGTTATTTGTGAGCACATGATATGTTGTATAACTTATACAGGTATAAGAAAAATCAGTTATTTGTGCATTTCCTTAGTCTATGACGAGAGTGAGGGTCCTTTCAAATGAAAATATTTCAAACACAATAAAAAGACACGAATAGTGAAATGGTTTACCAATTCATTGAAAAAATGTTTTTTATAAATGGGGTTCACAAATATTTTTGCATATATTCTCAACCGAAAGGTTGTTGTAATCCATTGTATGCTTTATATCAAAGAATTTTATGAAATAAATTTTAAAATAGCATATATTTCTAAATAATTATAAAACTAATTGAATATAAACTTAAATTGTTTAATAAATAGCGTTAAACTTATTATATTGTAATAATGTTAATGAGTGTTACAAAAAGAGGCACTTTAAGTAAAAATTAAGCCCAATTTCTATTTAAAAGTACATTAAATACAAATATAATAGCAATTTAATGCAATGCTAAATTAAAAATTTATAATTATATATAAATAGGGTCTAAATTAAAAATAAATTATCGTTAAATTATTCATAAAATGTGTTTTTAATCATTTTAATTTAATAATACCTAAAAACATGAGAACTGTTTTATTATTAAGGGTTTTATAAGTAGTTTTATATATAATTAGCGTTATTTGAGACTTAATATGACTTCAGTTATATCAAAATAATATAAACACGATGCTATCGTTTTCAACAAAAATCATACAACTTTTCAGCAAATAATTAATTTTAATAAATTGTAAAACTTTTAACGATTTTATATAAAATTAAATAACGTTAAAATTCAATTAATTAAAAGTTATTTTCAATATTTAATATTTACTATTATTGTTAGTCTTATATAATACACGTATTTATTTGTATTTTTGTTAAACAGTCAAAGGAAACGCTTTTATTTCATCTTTTATTATCGTTTGAATTCAGATAATTGTGTTTAATTTGAGACAAAAATAAGGAAAATATAAACACTTAACTCAACTAAAAAAGCATAAAATAATAATTATTTTCTATGTTTAAAGTGTCTCAAAAATAAGACAAACTATTTTCTAGCGTTCATTTAATAGTGACTTTGATATGGTTTATGATTTTCGAGTCTTTTATCGAAACTGATCCTCTTTTTTGAAGGAAGTTTTAGTTTTAATCTAAACTTTTTCTTTTCATAAATTTTTCAAAATCTTTATTTGCAATCAATTTTTATTTATAAAAAGCTTATAAGTAGTGAATACCGAGTATTGAATACATTGTTTCAGAAGTACTTTCTTTTACTACATTTTATCTCACATTCAGAACCACTTGAAAGTGAACTTTCGATTTGAAGTCCAAAAGAAGTTATATTTTAACATTTATTACAGAAGTTAAAAGACAAGAGTTTGCAGAAAATAGTGCTAATAATTGCAATTAATTATAGTATATAAGAGATAAGTTGTAATCAAACGACCGACTCGTGACTGAAAAACTCATTTTATATTTTAATCACTATTTATTATAAATATTATTAAATAATTAAAGAGTTAGAAAACACGCATTTAAATAAAATGATTTAATCTAATTCATTAAATTAAAGCTAAGTATAATATAAGAATCATTATTATGATGTAAAATTACATTTCTGTTTTATAAAGTAACATGGACAATCTAAATTCCCATAATGTTAAAGCATATAATAAATATTGTTATTATTAATAACTTATTATGAACCGACATAAAGTAATTAGAGAACTCATACCATAAGTAACACATATACTGAAAAATATTTTGGTTCATATATTAATTTGAAAACATTGGAAAGTTTACATTTATTAGTTTACATAACATATTAGATTGCATGCAATATTTTATGTAATAGTTTTCGTTGTAAACGTTTTCTAAAACTGTTGGCCAATCATTTCAACAAATAAACAAATCAACTTTTAATTAGAATTAAATGTAAAACTATACATGGTGATTATTTGTTGCAGTATTTGCTAAAAAGTATATCTTCCCAATAATAAATCTTTCAATGCATTGCTTTTCCGGAGATCACCGGTTAAGCGAAGCTTTAAGTATAGCTTTTGAAAAAAGTATAACTCAAACAGTTATTTCTAGCACACAATTCAAGAAGCAATAAAAAGTATGAAAATAATTTCAGGGTTCTTCCAGGAATAAATTTAAGGGGCCACCAATACATCCAATGCACACCATCATATCACATCCCATCACATCATGGTAGGCGATGATAGCCTATGGTAGGCCCCATATCCTCACTTTGGGCTTTAAGAAGTACTAAAACTAGTAATACTGTACTGTATTAACAAAATCACAAGATATGTATGCTTTACACAGTGTTCCGAAAGTAAAATTCCTTTTATCTATAGGTAATGGATATAACGGTTTTGATTATCCAAAAGGATCTAAAAACTTGCAAATATTGCTAATTATTTTGGTTTGATTCTCATTAAAATTCTACCGCAACACTAGTACTCATATTTCAGTAATCAATGACAAAAATGTGAAAGTGTTCTCAACTGCATAAATAAACTACATTCTTCATATACCGTATGTACAACTTGTACTGTACAAGTAACTTATCGCCGATAAGTTATCGGGCACAGTTTATAGTACATCAAATTGTATTTCCTATTCAATGTTTGCCCCAACGATCAGCACTGGTCTACGGTATATGATATACCGTATAATTTATCTATTGGGCAACAGAATTGTAACAACAATATTATCAACTCATAAAGGCATAGATTGTGTGAACACTTATGTTTGGCGCCAAAGAAACATCAAAGTTATATAATTAAAAT